GGGAGAGAATCGTAAGAGTAAGAGTGAGAAAACTCCTGGGTTGAGGTAAGAACAGTTTAATAATTGAAATAAAATAAAGTAAAATAGCAGTAGTAATAATAACAATATAATAATAACAGTAATAATAATATACAAAGCAAGTGATGCACAATAGAATTGCTCACCACCCACCAACCAATGCCCAGACAGTTCCTGAGCAGCAATTGCTGCCCCCCGGCCAACTCCTCGCAGCTTATGTACTGAGCATGATGTCATATGGTATGGAATAGCCCTTTGATCAGTTTGGATCAACTATCCTGGCTGTGCCCCTTCCCAGGCTCTTGTGCAGCTGGTAGAGCATGGGAAGCTGAAAAGTCCTTGACTAGCGTAAGCAGTACTCAGCAACAACTAAACCTTCAGTGCGTTATCAGCATTATTCTCATACTAAATCCAGAACACAGCACTATGCCAGCTACTAGGAAGAAAATTAACTCTATCCCAGCCGAAACCAGGACAGATACCAAGGGAAGACTATTAGAGTAACTGATTTATCAGATAGACTGAATATACTGAAGTGTCAGATGCTACAGGAAATTGTCATCACTCTAAGTAGGACATGTAGTTAATTTCACCTTACCCTGCTCATGCCAGGGATGCAAATTCTTCACTGTGAAGTCAGGAGGGGAACTAAGTTGCCTGCTGCTGTTTGGCTTTCTGTTCTCAGTACTAGTTACCGGCCATTCTGACGCATATTACATTTGACCTGTAGCAGCTGGGAGGTCACAGAAAGGTCACTTGATCCTCTGCATTGCATCTGCAGCCGAATGCTGTAGAACATTTGGATGTCCCCAAATTTAATAGTGTTACTGTCGATGTGTTAATTTAAGAGTCATTTCAAGAAAACTTTGCAGTTGCCTAATACCGATTACTGAGTAAAAAAATCTGCCATGATAAAATTATATCACTTTTTAAAGAAATGAAAAAGGGAAGGCACCAAGTGATTGGGTCTGTTTATACCCAAACTTATACTGAGATAATGAATTTGGATGAAACTTGGTACTTGACTTGTTGCCATTCCAGGTGTTTCATGGCTGAGGATCAGGACTGTAACAGAAAGGAGTGACTCTGTGTGCACGGATGATCATATAGACCTATGTCCAAAGCATGTCCTTCTGTACAGTTCACAGTGTGTGCTTTTAGTCTACCTGAAGGAGTTGAAAGGGATGTAAATTATCTTGGTCCATGTGCAAATTTGTATCTATGTGTATTTGTGTGGCTCAGCCTTCCTAATCTCCACTGAGAACCAGGGGAAACCTGAACACTGTCACGCAAAGCAGAGAGCAGAATTGTGTGCTTGTACTCATCAGAGCCAGGAATGGAAATAGCTCTTCTAATAAATGGAGCTTTGCTGGTCAGTCTTGGCCTAAGGGGATGAAATTTGTCATGTAACGAAGGAAGACAGACACCAATTTAAGCTTTTTTGGGCTGCGTCCTGCTCTTTTGTGGAATCAATATCATCTAGTTTACAAAGCTCTGAGTCTTAGAGGAGCTGTGTGGAAGATAACATATCCTTTATCTGTCAATTCATGGTACTAAGGTAAAGCTTTAAGCAAGGAGACAGCCTGAGATCTTCTACTTACTACAATTTTTAGGTAACGAGTAAGTGATGCAATTTTTTGTTTGTATGAATCAGGGAATACAGAGACACCATGGCTGAAGTTATGTAGACCATATGTTCCCTAGGGCACCTGCCTCGACCTTGTATATGGAATCCAGGCAATGCAGCTTTGATCCCTGAGTGAGATGAAATAACCACTAGCTTTCCAGGGGAGTCAGCATTTAGGCCAGGGAGCATTCCTGGAGATTAATGTGACTGCTGGCAGATGGCATGTGAGTGATGATAAGCATCTGTTAATTTTTAAGTATATGTCTATGGCCAAATGTTGGTCTCTGTAGCCATGCACTGGCAGACAGGAAAGGAGCTTGCTTTTTCTGACTGGCAGCTACTTTGTGCTAAAACAACTTCCCACTTCATTACTGTCTGCTGCTTTTTCCTGTCCTCACATGGCTTGACACATTTTGTGTGTCCTATTGTCAGGCTGTAGCTTACTGCACTGTTAAAAGGCTGGGTGTAACAGAGTTTTGACCTGAGATTAAGGCCACTGCATTTAGCTGCTGTGTACAAATTGAGGATGATGATAATTGCTAATAAAGATAATTAAATTCTCTCTGTAAACAGATGATCTCCTGACACTGGTATCAGAGTCTCATACTCCCTGCAGTTTATCAAAATAAGCATTACAGAACCTGGCGAACTAATCTTAACGTTAAGCTACAATGGACTTCAGCTTCAAAAGAACATCTCCAGTATTCTTGATTAATTGAATCACAGAATCATAGAATTGTTTAGGTTGGAAAAGACCTTTAAGATCATCGAGTCCAGCCATTACCCTAACACCACCCTGGTAGAAGAAGTTATCCTGGTGTTTAAAAGAGGCTTTCGCTAAAATGTTGACCCTCTCCCAAACTCACTGTGCTGGCACAGGCAAGAGTATCTCCTCTTTACAGAGGGGTTGATTCTACAGGTGCTGTTTCTTCTGTTCAAGAGCAGGAAGAGCATTGCCAAGTCCACTGCTGTTATGTGCAGTTTGGCAAGTACACAGTTTGCCCTTCCTTGTGCACATTGTTCAGGGATATGCTCTCCACAGCTTTTTGTGACCTTGGTGTTCTCTGTCTCTTGGGTCCTGCCTTGACGCTGCTTTGCCCAAACAAAAGCAACCTGAAGGCAGATTTGATTGATAAGCCAGTCTCCTCTACTGGTAAGTGTCCAGGTTGTGTACACAAAATAAACAGCTGTTTCCAAGAAGTAAGGCAGCAGTGTCATTTGTCTTTTATTGGACTTTGAAGGAAGAGCAAAGTTATCGTTCGTTTTCTTCTTTGTTTGCCATGATATTCTCATGGTGACATGGTAAAAGCGAAAGAGATGGAACCAGAGGAAGGAATTTTTCTGTAACCCGAGGTCCTTTGGGAAAGGAGCATTTGCTCTTTTACAGGTGGTGCTGCTTTAGAAAACACACCTCCCTGGATGTTCAAATGTGACTTGTAGTGCAGTTATGAGTGTTCTACTGCTGCACTGCTTTTTTTCTGGGCTTCCATAACAGTTGGCTTTTGGGATTGCTAAGTCTCTTCTGCCTGAGGGTTTCTCTGAGTTCAGGTGCATAACTCTGATAAGAATGATCCTGCACTAAGCTGTTTACCACTCTCTTTGTACGGTTTACTCAGACCTATCTTTAAAGCCTGAGTCTTTGTTAATGAGAAATCTTCACATCTCTTCTACTGAATTTTCCTTTAGATTACTCTTTTAAGATCTCTGCAGCTTAGGCTAATGTCTTAGGCTATACCACAGGAGACTGGATATTAATGTACTTAATGTATGCCAATCTCTGACCTTCAGAAAAAGAGGGAGTCTTTTGCTGATAAAGTAACAGATGGACTTCAGACTCCCTGAATCGTTTTTTTGTTTCCTTTTTTATTTTTGTTTTGTATTCTGTACCTTGGAAGTTCCCCCTGCCTAGCCTGATTCAAAGTTAGTGTGAACTAGAGAGAAGAGGGAAAATACAGCAAGGAGCTAGCAAGTAAATCTCCTGTCATCCTCGTTCTTGAAGGCTGTACAGTTTATTCAGTGATGCCTTAGGTGTAGCTGGTTGCCCAGGATGTTGCTGAGGTTGGCGCTGAGGCAAAATCCCTGGTGTGCCCTGGGCAGCTAACCCAGCTGTTTTAGGTGACTCTTGGGGGCAGCAAGAGAGGAAGGGAATTAAGTACCTCCCGTCTGGGCAGTTAAACAATTTTCTGACATTCCTTTGTGTAGCAAAGGAGATTCCTCAAAAGAAAGTTGCCAGCCTCCTCCAGGCAGGAGATGGTATCCTCTAACATCCTTAGCACAGTCCTCTGTGCCAGGGGAAGGTGCCCTCTTCTTAAGTGGTGTCTTCTTTTGTTGGTGTTGGAGAACCGGAGGCTGGGCTACGTGGCCTGTTGGTCTGTCCCGAGAGAGAACTTTTTTTTATTCTTTATCCTGATTAAAGAGTCCTGCTTAAGGAACAATCACCAAGGGGATTTTACAGGGTAAAAGAGGAAGAGAGAATAGTGTGCCTACATGGTTAAATTCCAGAAAAGTACAAGAAAAGTAGCCCGGTACAGCTAGCTTCCTGATGACTGGGCCATAGCGCCTGCCAGAAGTGATTGCTTAAGTGCAGCTTGAATAGAAATCATTAAGGAAATGGAACTTGCCTGCTCTCTGTACACAGATTTCACCAAGAGACTACCAGGTTTTACTTACAGATTTCTTTACTGGCTTGTCACAGTCAGCTGTAATAATTTTTAAACTAATGAACCGAGGCCCCTATAGCTACTACAATAAGGGAAGGAGAGAGTGTTCCGTGGCTCCTGAAATGCACAGGGTAAAAAAAAAAAACAAACCTGTCCAGCAAGGCTGATGGTAGTGCTGAGACCCTTGGTATGTGTCACCTAAAAACAAAATCAGAGACCAAATAAGAGTCTCACAGGCTGAGTGACTGAGATTAATGGGAAGGGGAAGGCGGCAGCCGGAGACAGCAGTTGCAACATATTCCTGGGTCATGTAAGTTTATTTTTGTTTACCAGCCATTTAGTTGTAACAATTAAAGCATCAAGTGACTTCTGCCCAGGTGAAGTGTCCTGCCTCATGTTGCTTAGAAAGTTTCTGACTATGTGGGATCTGCAAAAAAAAAAAATCCAGTAATCAATGCTCAAGTCAATAGGCCCTGTGTAAATCTTTGCCTTCGGAACAGCAAGGTATGCTGTCACCCACAGCAACAGTAGAAGGTAAGAAATAAGCCCAATGTCTTTGTGGCTTTTGACACGTTTTTCTTGTTTGCAGTTGACTTCTCTTTGCAGCTTTTGTAGCTGTTCACAATTGTTTACTCTGAAAGAAGCAGAGTAGGGAATCACCATCTTGTCACCACCAGTGTTGTGTAGGAGCCTAGGGTCAGAGGAACGATTGCACAAAAGACCTCTGCAGTGCATAGTGTGATCTGACTTGTCTGTGAGTCACAGCATTTAGTTAACTCAAAGCATTTGAACCTGCCAGTTCTTTTACAGGTATTTCACCAGACAACAGGGCCAAAAGCTTGTTTTCCAAAATGACTGTTGGATCTTTCAGGTCTTGTTCTTGCACTCTGACTGGTGAGCACAGATGGGTGGTACACCCAAGCCCAAGAGCAACAACTGCTTTGTAGGTGCCCCAAACAGTAAATTTGAATGAGAACAAATCAATAATATTGATGACAGTATGAACTGGAAACAATAAAGGTAAGCATAATTATGAATAACAACTGCAAACAATGCCCAATTCAATATCTAGATCATCCTGTTTCACAATACATAGAAAAATAGCACTGGAACTCTCAATACAAGGCACAAAAATGAAAATAGAAGTCTTATGTACTAAATATGCATGGAATGTATTTCCATTTTGATGTGAAAACTCGTAGTAACTAATAGCACTTCCTTGATTTGGGAAAACAGTTTTAGGTACCTTCCAAACTGCTACAATCTGCTTTCTTCCTAAAAATTCAGCACAAAATAAATGCTTTCCTGTCAGTTATGTCAGGCAAGAATCTGTATTAGAACAATGTAATGGCTGTTCTGGAAAGAAAAGAGATTCCATTGGCGGATCTTATTGCCTCATGTTTCCGATGGCAACCAATAAGAGAAGTAATTCTTTAACAGTTGTTGACTGTTACAACTTGCTCTATTTCCTCTGTCTCATCCAAAATGAAAATGTTGAAAAATAGCAGTTGAAGTGGTTAACATCAAAGTCTACCTGTTGAAATATGTACCTCTGTAGATTCATCAAACAATGTACCTGGTTTTGGTCCTTTATAATCCTTGATGAATCAAACCTTGCAGCATCAATGAATTAGGGAAAGCTAGTCCTTAATTTACAGGGGAGAGAGCTGAAGCCAAAAGGAAGTTTTGGCACACCTGGGACCAGAAAGCAAAACTCTAGATTGTCTACAAGAGTGGCCTTTTTCTAAGCATATGGAGGTTTTTTGCTACTTTAGTTTTCTGTGCTTACATTTATTTTATGTCTTACAATGCGGTAGATAGCAGGATGTTTTCTGGTGTGTTTTGCAGAGTTTCTGGAGGAGAACTTTTTGACTTCCTGGCACAAAAGGAGTCTTTGAGTGAAGAGGAAGCAACCAGATTCATCAAGCAGATTTTGGATGGTGTGAATTACCTTCACTCTAAGAAAATTGCTCACTTTGATTTAAAGGTAAAGATGCTGATTTAGACATTGTTATTGTTGTTTTTTAATGATGAACTGTACCTTCTACGATTTGTTAGATATCTGTATTTGATAACATGCCTAAAATAATAGGTAAGACTGTTTTAAATGGACTTCGCATCTGAGTGCTCCAAGGAAGACAATCTCCTTTATCAGGCCTGTGGTAACTTTTGGATGGGCTTATGTATTTACTGACTGAGAAAAAGAAATTGTAAGTCTTCATCCCTCAGCTGTTTGCATTTGTGTTATCATCCAAAGCATGTTGTTTAAAAAACAAAAAAAATTAGAATGATATACAGAAGAAATGCATTTTTGGGGAGAGGAGGGCCAGGTCCAGCTACAAACAACTGTTGCTGCTTCCATTCCCCACTGTGTTTAGAATTACACAAGGAGTATGTGTCATCCAGTGCAGTTTGGTTAACAAAAAGACTTCTTGCTTTCTTAGCTGCTTAGGGCCTTGAAAGCACATCACACTGGGCTCTCTTCCTACCATATCAGGTGACATCTATAGCTTTGGTCCTTGACTTTGATATCAGTACAACCGGCCTAGACAATACAGAAGAGACTGTGACTCTCTCCTTTTGATTGTGGGCTACCTAGGTGAACATGCTTCTCTGAAGCTAGGAGTCTGTCGTCCTTGGGAATGAAACTCTTGAGACTAGAAGAAAGTGCTTTCTCAGTAGCAGACTCACAGATACAGAACTGGCTGCCTCAAACATTGCTGCTTCCAGAAATACATTCAGAATGCACTTATCCCCTAGGAGAAAATAGAATAAAACAGAGGAGGGAACTATTTTAAAATGAAGGAAAAAGGAAGAAACTCTGCTGTTAGATTACATGTTCCTTGTCCTAACTTTAAATCCAGGTTAGTTTAATTATGTGTGCAATATAGATAGACTCCTGCCAGATTCTCAGGATATATATGCTGATTCCTTGTGCTAAATGTGTGCCTAATGCTGTCTCTGTCTTAAATTGCTTGGTCTTGAGTCAGTGTTAATGGCATATATGTCGTCCTTACAAATCACATCTAACCTAAGAAACTGGTTAGCTAACTACAGTCCAAATCTTCATGGGGTGCATGTGAAAAAGCATAGGAGATGTGTGAACATATAAAGGACGTGCACTTGATTTTGAAATTACTACATGAATCCAGAAGCCAAAGACTGAAAGTTTTCACTGTGTATTAGAAAACAGTGTAATATCCAGTGGCATGAAGTTATTGTGAGAATATAGGTTCAACTTTTTCTATACTGATCTCTAGCTACTAATTTTAATATTTAATACCAGTAATGTCAGGTGATCAGTGAAGATGTTACAAGAAATGCAAGATAGAAATCAGTAAGGATAAGTAAAGAATCATTTCACTGATAGTGAATATCAAATGACCTAAAACATATTCACAGAATAACTCTTCTGGGTTTTACAGGACTCGGTTTGGAGTTTTGCTACTGTTAAATTAGACGTGCATTTTTAAGCAGTGATCTGATTAGATAGAGGAGGATTCATAATTATCTCGTCACTTGGCAGGGCTCCATCGACTACAGTGGAGCTACAGTGACTTACACCACCTAAGGAATAAAGCAGTCCAAGAGGAAGTGACTGTGACTTTTTGCCATTCCAGTCTGTTCTGTCTGCTCTAAAGAACCTTACATTATGTATCTGGAGTGAACACATAAGCCCTAGATCTGTGGAAGAAAACCAGACTTGTTAGCCTGAGGCTAAAATATTCTTGGTCCAACGACTGTGACAATAAATTATTCATATGCTGTCTTTCCCAGTGTAGCTCTGACTGAGAGTATGTGTTAGCAGGAGCTGCTTCCACGTTAAGATCTGCTGTGAAAAGGCCAGGCAGCTGCCAGCAGGGAATCAAACTGTCTCACTGTTGCTCTTGAGCTTATGATTAAGTTATGACAAATTAATGCATTAAAGCTCTTCATGGGAGATAAATTGAACCCATAGTTTACTCTGAAACCTGTGAAACAGGGCCATGGTAGGGAGTAACTAAGGCTGAGAAATTTAGTTGAAGAAATAAGTTTATGGAATATCCGTTATATCTGGTAAAGAAAGTCACAGTCTGGTTGAAAAAGTTAGCTTTAATTTGATAGTTCTAGCTTTGGCTTTTCTCTACAACGCTGTGAGAAGTGCTACATGTTCTTCTAATAGCTTGCTATCATATATGAGCTAGGACCTCTGATCCCCACTCTTTCCATTTTCTGGACTGTTCAGATAGTAAATCCTAGATCTTTCCTGTCCTCCTTGTTGCAGCTGTAAATTTAGTGTCATAGAGAATAGCATTTTGTGTCCCTAAGTAGGTTCAGATGTGACTAGAATTCCTCAATAAGCATTTAATAAGACATCTTCCACTGGGTTACAATACAGTATAGGGACAGCTGGGCAGAAATAGTGAGGTTCCCAGTGTAAGTTCCAAGAACAGATCAGTAAAATTGTTGTCAGTCAAAATATTCAGTCGTGCAGCTCTCCCTCAGGATCAAGCAATGGCACTCTGTCTCTGCACTAGGTATCTGCACTGCTTCAGCTACCTGCTAGCTGCTGTTATGTGTGCACCACTTGTCGTAACTGAGGCAAATTCATGGGGTCAGGGTGTGACGTCTTCCCAGGACGCCCTGCGGACCAGGGTTATATTTTCACGTTATATCACAATGCTGCTGGGCCAATAATCTAGTGGCGTATCTTGTCAGATTAGGGAACTACATACAGTTGCATGAAAAACTCTGTCTCATTGTGAAAACAAGGGTATCTTGTTTTCATCATGGCAATAGCCATCATTAAGAAAATAAGCCTGGGGGTGCTAAGAGGAAGATAGAGAAAGCCAGATTTTGCATGAGATAAAATTAAAGGAAGGAAAGTATTATTCTTATTAGATTTGCTTTGCTTTTATGAGGTTCTGGTCCATTCAGTGATGTCAAATTTCACAGTTGTCATCCCTTTCTCAAAAGAATGAATTGTAAATGCTTAGGCACAGGTCTGTGTTTCTTGTTCTACAGTGTTGTATATGTGGGGAAAAAAAAAAGCACTTGAGAACTCTGTTACTTTCACAAGATATTAATATTATAATGTCCTGGTTTTGGCTGGGACAGAGTTAATTTTCTTCCTAGTAGCTGGCATAGTGCTGTGTTCTGGATTTAGTATGAGAATAATGCTGATAACGCACTGAAGGTTTAGTTGTTGCTAAGTACTGCTTATGCTAGTCTAGGACTTTTCAGCTTCCCATGCTCTACCATCTGCACAAGAGCCTGGGAGGGGGCACAGCTAGGATAGTTGATCCAAACTGATCAAAGGGTTATTCCATACCATATGACATCATGCTCAGTATATAAGCTGCGAGGAGTTGGCCGGGGGGCAGCAATTGCTGCTCAGGAACTGTCTGGGCATTGGTTGGTGGGTGGTGAGCAATTCTATTGTGCATCACTTGCTTTGTATATTATTATTACTGTTATTATTATATTGTTATTATTACTACTGCTATTTTACTTTATTTTATTTCAATTATTAAACTGTTCTTATCTCAACCCAGGAGTTTTCTCACTCTTACTCTTCCGATTCTCTCCCCCATCCTACCAGGGCAGGGGGAGTGAGCGAGTGGCTGTGTGGTGCTTAGTTGCTGGCTGGGGTTCAACCATGACATATAACAACAAAGATCTGTCTTTTGTTAATTTTAGCCTGAAAACATTATGCTTCTAGACAAGAATATCCCTATTCCGCACATCAAACTCATTGACTTCGGCCTGGCTCACAAAATAGAAGATGGAGTTGAATTTAAAAACATTTTTGGAACTCCAGAATTTGTAGGTGAGTGACTGACCCATTCCTTTGTCTCGTATTGCAAGTTCCATGAGGAAGTTGAGACATCTTTTCAAAGTTAAGAAGTGAGGGACAGAGATAGTTTCAATCTCATTTGTATGAAGGTGACCTAAATCTAGAGGTTTACTTTATTTTTCTGGAATAGCTGAAAGGTGCTTTCTATAAACCAGATGTGCTACTCCTGTGAGAGTAGGTTGCTGCCAAGTAAATACTTAGAGATGTAAATTCAGGACTGAGATTGTGAAACCCTGCAAACACAAATTACAATTTTTTACTTGCTGCCTGGGGCATGTAAGCTCTCTGTGTTGTAGTACACAGGCACACAATTACATGGGTATCTCCATCATTGCTTTCTAGATAAAACTGCCCCACACTGTACACCTGTTGAGTACAACACTCTCACCATCCCTTACATTTTTCCACCTGGTTGTCTTTTTGTTACTCACTTATCATAATTCTAAACTGTCTTGCTTGGATTTTAGGTTAATCCTGCTCCTTTCTACTAGTTTCAGTTAGAGGTTTTGGGGTTGGTTTATGGGGGCTGGGGGGCAGGGAGAGAATTGTAATTCATATTCCAGTTAAACACGACCATTACGGACACCTTTTTTACCTCACCTTGGTCTTTTCTCTTGCATGCAGTTTTATATGGCGATGTTTTCCGACAAGGAAATGTTTCTTATAAAAATAATAGGGTTTGACATGGCTAGCAATGTAGTCTGGCATGTAATTTCAATCTCTTGCCCAAGGTCTGTTTCTGACTGGCCGTTAGAAACTAGCTTTAATGGCACCAGTTAAAAACAAAACAAAAGCTCAGATTCTTAGGGGTAACAATGTCCTTGGGAGATGAAATAAGTTGTTACTTGTTATAATTTGCACTGTAATTAGTATATAATATCTGCTTTACCCTTATTCTTGAGTTGCATTATGCCCCAAGTTACTCTACATGATCTCTTCTGGACACCTGTGAACTTGAATTCCTATCAGGGCTATAAAACTATAAACAGTGCATCCTATAACTACCTTTCCTTTTCCCAGCCCCCCCTTTCTCCCTCTTGATAATTCTTGACCTGCTATTCAATTCAGTCTGGTAAAAATTCATTACCTCAGTTGCTGATGTTTGATTAAATTTTTCTTACAGCTCCAGAAATAGTAAACTATGAGCCACTTGGACTAGCTGCAGATATGTGGTAAGATTTTAACGTTTTTTTCCCAGGTTATTCTCCTATTACTTTTTCCCAATTTGCTCTGAATAGAATCCATTCTACTGCAACAAATTAAAACCAAACCAAAACAAAAAACTTAAGTGCAGTTAATAATTCTTTGTTCTTTCTGTCTTTCCATTTTTTATACATTCTTTTTAATTAAAAGATAAGCATTTAATTTCAGCAATATTACAACAAAAAACGTTAATAATGGCAGTTATAGAGTTAAGTTTGCCACTGTCCACTGCAGAGGAGCACTCTTAAAAGAAAACACGTTCCTGCAGTGCTTTATTTATAAGAGCACTGCATGCAGAGGAGACCTGCGTACTAATCTGATCTGCTGAGAAGGGAGGCAAAAGAGGTCACCCCAAGTAAAACATCCTTGCTTCTGTTTCTTTGTATTTCTGATGTGTACTGTAGTAAATACCTGCTAAAGTAGAAATATGTAAAGAGACTTCAAAGATACACATTACTTGAAGTTGTATGTAAAATTCATGTTTTCCCTGAAGCACCATTCTTTGAGGGATATTAGCAGTTTTCTAAAGCCACGATGGCTCTCCTGCCTGCATAGCAGCTACTATTGACTTTTTCATATTATGTACATTAAGAAGAATACAGGTCATGTAGAACCCCTGCAATTAATCTCCTTTGTTTTTTAGGAGCATAGGAGTCATCACCTACATACTGTGAGTACAATAGATTCACTCCTGTAGAAGTGTTCCTGAAGCTCTGTTGCACTAGTACGAAACAGCTCTTCCCTTTAGTCATTTAAGAAAGGAGCTGCACACACAGGGTGGGCAGTGGCTTGTCTAATGGGTAAATGTTATCCTGCAGACTTTTCAAGTTTAAAATAAGGGGTAAAAGAGGAGGGGCATTCTGAGCAGATGAAGAACAAATGTCTCTAGCATCACTCGGCATTTCTCCTTCTTATGGGACCTCATCAGCTCCAAATGGTAGAGGATGGAAAAGCCCGAGCATATTGGTTGCTCAGAGAATGACTATGAGCTACCAGTGTGTGGAGAGAATAGAAACAGAAAGTGTAATTGTACTATTTACAAGGTGAGTTATTTCAGGTGAAAACAGGGTAAGTTTTAATTTGCTTGTAAAGGTGGCAGTCTAGATTCCTATGCATAAGTATGGCCACCCATATTTAAAAAGGTGAATTTAAGCTGGGGTAGGAGCAGAGAAGTTGAACCTGGGAACTGAGAATTCATCTTGCAGGAGAAAAAAGGGCTTGTTAAAGCTAGTAAAGCAAAGGCTGGTTGGGAATATCATTGCAGTCAGTAAGCATGGGGGGCGGTGAGGGAAGATACTTTTTAGAAGAAAAGTGTGTCAACTGGTGATGAATAAACAAAAGTAGGAAATTGTAACTACTCAAGTTACAACAACAAGCTCAAACTCTCAAAGAAATGAGGTTCTGTGGACATCCTGGGAACAAGCAGTCAAGAGAGTTTTAAGATGGAGCATGACAATTTGTGAAACTGCTTGTGTGACAATGGGTGCATGCAATGGAGGGACAGCACTTGTTGCTTCAAGAATTCTTTCCTCTGGTTTGATATGAGAATTAGAGAAGTGGTCAGGGATCCTTGGACCTAACTGCTTCCATTGAAGTCAAGCTCCTGTGACTGCTGGGGAGAAGTCCGTGGTGGATACTGTATGCTTGGAAATGTCTCACCCTAACATTCCTACCCTGGGCTTCTGCTATTCCTTATGACACTCAGAGGACTAACTTGCTGCCAGAATTAAAGAAGGTGCACTCCAGTATTAGAGGGATTTATTTGCACTACACAGCTCAGGGCTCAGTACAAGTATGGAGGCTTGAAATGGAGGGGTTGTCTTTTCAGTGTGGAAAATAAATGTAGTGGAATTAAATCCACTCTTGGGCTATACCCAAGGCTTAGACCCCAAAAGCTGTAAAAGCGCTATGGTCTGAGAAATCAGATTCAGTGCAACAAATTCCTTTCTGTCCTGTGGTGCAGAAAAAGATAGGGATACTGGTGGAGCCCAAGCTCAGGTAAAGGGGTTTAAAATACTGTCCAGACCCTTGCTTTTTATCAGCACTCTGGTCTTCAGCGACATGTGTACTTGACAGGACAATAAACTTTGTAAACTGCTGTTGATGTGTGTTCATAAATGATGAGAGGAAAACTTAGAAGTTGAAGATAAGCAGGTGGGAATACTTACCATGCGATTAGAGTGATGCACAGATGGTGTGGTGCTCCTGAGGTTTTTCTATTGCATTGAGAGTTCTGTCCTGGGGCAGAATAATGAAGTGGGTTTCTGTACTGTATTCAGTGTAGGAGATCTGTTTTACCTGGTTGGCTAGTAATGATTGCCATAGTAATTAAGGTTGAAAATTGGCTCCCTGCAAATGATCAGAAAAAAAGCATGCTTTTTATGATGGGAGGGGTCAGCTTGCGTGGTATGCTGTGTACTAGAAATGTGTATGCCTTTAACTAGTATTGCCTGTTAATTTTAAAGCCTTTTGTTCTGAAGAATTCTGAATTAATGGGGTGTATTTAATGATACTGCCTACTTTAGCAAACATGGCAGCAATCAAATGGATGCCATCATCAGGTGTAGAGATCAAAATGCCTTCAAGTCCTTAACTCAGTAACCAGTGGAATGGTTCACTGGGTTTTTAGGGTGAAGTCTCTATTTCTGAGGTCTGCTGTTAGATGTTTACAGGCACTGAATCAGGATATGACAAAAGTAATTTGCAGGTGTTAGGATTTGAGAATCCTCCCATTTCACAGACCTCAAAACTGAGTCCCAAAGAGGGGGGGGGAGGGGGGAAGAATCAAGATGAAAATAGAACAGTGTTGGCTTTGGCTTCCAGTGAAGGGCCAGAAGGTGGAATTACAACTGCTTCATGGCACAGTTTTGGGAAAGAGAAAAGAAACCAAGGCTCTAGGGCAGGTTTCCAAGCTTTAGTTTTGGAACAATGCCCATGGTCTGTGGCAAGGTGCCTGCTTGTAGCCTTCTTTGGGGCTAGCAGAAATGGAACAAAAGCTTAAGAGGAGTATGTAAAACCTGTTAAGAAGTGAGATTGACTGTGGCTTATGGGGGTGAAATTTATTGCATCAAAGATAACTGGAGGACCTCACTCACGCTGCCTTGCTGTGTCAGCTGCTTTGGTGTCATTGTATGATTATAGAGGGAGAGAATATGCACTCAAATGTTTATTCTGTGGATAAAACCACATACGGTACCTGGGGACTAGGCTGAACGGCTCAGGTAGTTCCATCTAACCTTCTGCTTACCCTCAAGTTCCCAGTCAACATGGTAGTGGCAATACAGATAGGGTAAAAGGTCTGTTGAGCAGGATCATGTAAGCAATCAGTTTAGTATTCAGAACCTCAATTTAGATCCCAGGAGTTTGCTGCAGTCCTGTTTTGAGCCTGCTGCATGATGAAACTATGCTATCGAAGCTAGACATAATATAAGCATATATATAAAAGCATAATAATAGCCCAGAAGATTTTAAAAAAGGCATGAGATCAATTTCCTTGGTATAAATAACATTTCCCATAAACCAGACTTTGCAAGTCAGCATCCCTGTGGATTGGGGAGGGGAGGGAAGGCAGGGCAGGAGGAGTCTGCAGTGAATCTGTTCTGACACCTGAGTTTTATGGAGCAGAGGTAAACAGTCATCAAAGATGAAGGTCATCAGTCACAGCTGAGAGATAGGCAAAGCAGGATGAAAGCTTTTTCTGTCTAAGTAAACATTAATGAATAGCATTTTATTATGACAATGTCTCCATTATATCCTTGCAGTTGGAGCGGAGTGCCAACAGAATGAAATTTTGCTTTGTTCAGAAACAGTTGGATTTTATTGCAGCCAAAGTCCTTTTGTTTGTGGATTACTTTTAATGAGCAGCATGGCCCTACCTCTCTGGCAGAGTTGGTCCCTAGGCCATGCACCTGACTTCCGATCACACATTGTATTTTGGTTCCAGATGAGAAAGGTCTCTTGGCTGAACTCACTGTGCAGAGAACTTGTCAGTAGCTTTGCAGACAGAAAAGCAGTAGGGGCAGGGCTCTTCCTACCCAAAGAAAATCTGTAGAAACACTATTTTATCTGCTTGAGGCCAATAGGAGCTTCTGCCTGGTAGTGTTTGTGGGTTCACAGTGATAGAGACTCTCCTCAGCTGAAGCTTTTTCTAGTTTGGTTAGCAATGACTTTAATGAGACACTTAGGAGAGGAGAATCTGTGCATTTCTATCTGTGTGCACACATTGGTGCTGCACTAGAGACTTTCAAGATGAGTCTCATAACCACAGGTGTAGTGAGCCAAAGCTGGACCTATTATTTCCCACGTGGCATGGCTGCTACAACACGAGATCCACAAATGTCCTGAGAGTATATTACACAGTCACTGTAATTTCATTAGGGGACTTCTGCTGTTTATTTTTCCAATTGGTTCTTCTTTCTGGCTTATCTAGGCTTAGTGGTGCATCACCTTTCCTTGGAGAAACTAAACAAGAAACACTTGCCAACATCACAGCTGTGAATTATGAATTTGATGAAGAATTTTTCAGCAATACCAGTGACCTGGCAAAGGATTTTATTCGGAAACTCCTGGTGAAAGATACACGGTAAGTAAAAATGCAGAAAGATCCATTTGACTCTAAGATAAACCTGGTGAAACGTAGCCTGATGAGTAATCTGCAAAGCTTTCTCTGCTGTTGGAGCGGGTCCAGAGGAGGGCCACAAAAATGATCTGAGGGCTGGAGCCCCTCTTCTACAAGGAAAGGCTGAGAGAGTTGGGGTTGTTCAGCCTGGAGAAGAGAAGGCTGCGGGGAGACCTTATTGCAGCCTTTCAGTACTGAACGGGGTACAGGAAGTACAGGAAGGATGGGGAGAATCTTTTTAGCAAGGCCTGTTGTGACAGGACAAGGGGCAATGCTTTTAAACTAAAGGAGGGTAGATTTAGACTGGATATAAGGAAGAAATTTTTTACAATGAGGGTGGTGAAGCACTGGAACAGGTTGCCCAGGGAGGTAGTGGAGGCCCTATCCCTAGAAACATTCCAGGTCAGGTTGGATGGGGCTCTGAGCAACCTGATCTGGTTAAAGCTGTCTCTGCTTACTGCAGGGGGGTTGGGCTAGATGACCTCTAAAGGTCCCTTCCAACCCAAAGCATTCTATGATTCTATGATTCAGTCATACTGGTATTTGTCCCATTTACAGAGGCAGTCCCTGTGCAATGCTGTGTTTCTACCTTTGATTCTCAGTGCTCTTAATGTGCTATAGAACTATAGAATCATTTAGGTTCGAAAAGACCTTTATGATCATTGAGTCCCACCGTAAACCTAACACTGCCAACTCCACCACTCAACCATGTCCCTAAGCACCACATCTACACATCTTTTACATACCTGCAGGGATGGGGACTCAACCACTTCCCTGGGCAGTCTGTTCCAATGCTTGACAACGCTTTCAGTGAAGAAATTTTTCCTAATATTCAATCTAAACCTCCCCTGGTGCAACTGTTCACTGAACTGCCACAATACAGAAGGAAGTTAGGATTGATTAGGTTTGAAGTATTCCTCTCAGGAATGTTGCTTTCAGAAAATGGTAGCTTCTGCAGTGATGTAATATTGTGTGCCAAAGGACAGGTTTGATATAATTAATGTTGTATACCTTGATTCAGACACAGTCTTATTAAAGGTGTGTAGAAAGGATTTATTTTCTAAGCATGTAGGATGAACAAAACACAGTAATGTTTTATCATTTTTTTATGGAAAGATACACAAAAATACAGGTAGATTTTGATCAAGTCAGAATTAAAGTGGTGTGGAGTAAGGACAGCTCCTTACTGAAACTTAGAACAGTTACTAAACTACACACAAGCAGTATGCCTTGTGGAGAAACATAACCCTGAAATTTGAGAGTTAGTCCTGGCATTATCTTGATAAATGCTTCATATGAAGCCTGGGAGATGTGTGGGTTAATGGACTTGTGTACAAGGTATTTCTCATTCAAGCCTGGGGGGGTGTTTTGTGTTGTTGTTTTTTAGGAAACGGCTTACAATTCAGGAAGCTTTGTCTCATCCGTGGATAACGGTAAGACTGAATAAAGGCACAGATCTTACTTTTTATCATGAGCAAAGCAGAGATAGTAATCTCATTCTTATTGGTGTGTTAAATGGAAAAGTATCCTCTAAGTGCTTAGAGACCCTAGGTATCTTAAAGAGATGCACTGGAAAGAAATTGGTTGGGTCTGACTAAACCCTCGTATTTCTGCAAATTACTTCTTTTGTTATCATAACTTTCAAAAAGACGGTGACAAAGCTTTGATATTTGTTGCACTTACAGTATCCTACATTAGACCGTGCTTTGCATTTTTCTCTGTTTGCATGCGCATATACTACATCTTGGGTTTAGTGCTTTCTTGAGTTGAGAGTTGACTACAGCCAATGTGGAAAATAGAATTTCTCTCAAGACATAACTGTTGTACCAAGCGTGTTGATTTGTGTGTCTGTATATATTTTTTCATCATAAACATTGCTTGCTTATGTGGATAAGTCTTTTATTGAAAATACATTTAGCTAATCTCAGCATGACTAATGAGGATGTTTGAAATTCAGTTTTTGCTCTGCATTGCACAAAACATTAATTGGAGTGTTTTTAGGATTGTTGTTTTTCCTCTTACAAATATTGATAGCTTTGAGACTGTTAACTGCTAAAAATTCACATGAAAATAAATTGCAGCCCTGTTATTCACACTTATCACATTGGAATGAATGCACATCTCTTGTCACATTCATTTTTGGGTTTGTGTGTTTGGTTTGTTTTTTTTTTTTTTCTTTTAATCAAATGCATGAAGGAAAATCTGTGGGAGCAAAGAATCTCCCAGCATTGTGGAAGTTCAGGCTGCATCCTTTGTGTAGAGTTTTTTTAATTACTGCACTGTATTGTAAACGTTCAGTAATATCGGTTCCTCTGTCTGACGACTCACCAGCTGAAAGAAGAAACAAAAGTCCAAGAAAACAAGAAGGTTGAGAACACACAGCTGAAGACAAAACGCCTGAGAGAGTACACCATAAAGTGCCATTCGAGTATGCCTCCGAATAATACCTACATCAACTTTGAGCGCTTTGCCCAAATAGTAGAAGACATTTCACTTATGGAACGGGGTTTCAGCACTTTGGCTGCATCCCATGATTCCTTGCAGGAGGACATTGATGCTCTGGTTTCCATTTATAATGAGAAAGAAGCTTGGTATAAAGAAGAGAATGAAAGTGTGAGGCACAAGCTGTCTCAGCTGAAGTATGAATACCGTAAAATTGAATCCCTGAAAAGACATCTACAAGATGATGTCAAGACTGTAGGCACTAGTCTTACAGGCATAACCGGGAAATATGCTGATCTGCAGAGTCAGTATGAATCTCTCAGTCAAGAACTTTCTGAGGAACTCAAGTGGATACAGGATTTAATGAGTAGTTTTCAACTGGAAAATGAAGCCTGTGTGAATGGAAACTTTGTTTTCAACAAAGATATTAATGAATCACTAATGGAGCTGTTGAATAGATCTCGCTGTGAAGAATTCCTTGCAGGCTTGAATCTTGATGTAGCAGAATCAAATCAGTAATGTTGAAGATCAGGTTGGGTGCAGGGTTTGCTGCCTGTTTCAATGTACAGCAGTTTAAAAAGTTTTCAGTGCATAGATTCTACACAAAAACATCACCTAGAGCTAAAATAGAAATTCTGATGTATTGTACGAGATGCTGACCAAAAGCATAAACTCACAGTGGTTTGCAGTGTTGAAGTTTTTTTTTCCCATGTTCAGTGTCTGAACTTACAGGAACTGGATTATCACAGTGGTATGGACACTTCTACCCTTTTGCATTGCCTGTATCATACTTCATCATGTATTACAGGTATCAAGGTCAGATTGGACGGGGCTCTGAGCAACCTGAACTGGTTAAAGATGTCCCTGCTCACTGCAGGGGGGGTTAGGCTCGATGATCTCTAAAGGTCCCTTCCAACCCAAAGAATTCTATGATTCTATGATACGGTTCCTGAAGATTACTAAGTAATTAACTTGGAATAAAGAGTAGGTCAGTCTGTACTTAATAGAAGCTGGGTGGCTGGAAACTAATAAAAAAATCTCATGATAGTGTCTTTGGTTGGATGAAGAAAACAGTTGTGAAGGAAAACCTGCTGCATGCAGGCAGTTCTATAGACCATACGAGAGAAATATTTGCAAAGGTTAAATCTGTCCTGTAAAGTAAATGGTGTAGTAATTAATATTTAGGTAGTACTGTGGAAGTTCTTTGTGAAATGGCTGGTGATGAAGAAAAGTTAAGATTATTTTTTAGGCCAGTTATGCAGGGTGAAATCTTTTACCATCAAAGGTGTTAGCTGTTGATTAATCCTTTAGTTTAAAATTCAGCTAAGTTTCCTGTCCTATTCCAAAGAAATCCTGTTCGAAAGACACAATTGGGAACTTGTAATGAACTGATCAAATAACTGTGTATGTAATTTCACAGCACAAATATTAATTTTTAAGTGATAAGTGATAACATAGACATCTGGTTTGCTTTCTACTGTAAAGAAGATGACAAAGCTACAACTAATTTAATCTATGGTGTGGGATTTGAGACTAGTGTTCTTGCTGTGAAGATTTTTTTTTCTTAAGTTTTAGAAAGTAAAAGAAAAGTTGGCCTAAACTTGAATCATGCCCTGCTGTCTTGCATTTCAAAGAAGTAATTTGATTGTACTGTATTAATATGCACAGATGTACCCGTCTCATTTTTGAACATAATAAATAGTTATTTATGCAGGATGCAGTTGTTCCCTGATGGTGTAGTTAGTGACTGAAAAAGAGATGTCAGGCTTCTGTATACTGAAAACAGTTGCCAGCCTAGGTTCTGCAGCTAGTTTACAGTCCCTTTGCTTAGCTGTATGAATTTGCTGCAAGGTGACTGTTACACAGCTATGAGAATCAGTGAGATAGTAGCCAGGCATCCCTGCGTCACTGCTCAAGTCCATCTAGAGTAGATCTTATATATATATATTAGAGTATGTCTTTCACTCCCAGCATCTCTCCTCCTTTTCCAGAGAAGTTAGACCTAACTAAATTGAACTGGTTTTGTTCATAACGTTAATAGGAATAATGTTTCCTACTTTGAGATAAAAAGATAAGGGCATACTCTCATCCAATTTGTGTAGAGTACAGGGGACCCATCACTGCCATATCCTCATAAAGATGTGCAGAGGCTGGTGAAAATTCAAGGTTCTGAAAACAGTTATTCAATAGGGGTATCGTTACTGCTGTACTCGGTGGAGGATGGAAACTGGATGTGTTCTCTGTGGCCTCTTTCTTTGCACAAGCTGTAAAATTTTCAAAAGCTTCAAAGTAGTGTAGATAGCCAGATGTCCCTAGCAAGCTGGTGTTGATGGTTGGGGAGAATTGGGCTCCACTGTGACAAATAGTCTTGACAATTTTACTTATGTCAATTTTTTATTCTCTCAGAATGCTTCCGTTGTCACTTCTGCAGGTTCCTTTGAGCTGGAAGACCCATGATACTGTTCAGGGGAACTGGAACACAGGATTTTTTATGAGGAAGAGTTTTAATTCTTAAAAAGTAACTTAAAGCTTAGTGAGAGTTAATATCTGCAGAAAGAGAGTCTGCCTTCTCTCAGCCATGATCTCATATTCTCTGTTCATGTAGATTTTCTTTGTGAACAAATGCACTGGCACGAGGAGGAGGAACATTAAATGAGGCCACTCTGTTCCTGAGTGTATTTGGGTGAGGTTAATATTGCTGTGACTCAGTCCTTGAGGCTAGTGCTCTCTGAGCTGAAGGAGTCACTGACTGGTTTGCAGGCTACTTAGAAATTGAGAGGCAGTTATTAAGATTTGGGAATACTGTAAAGAGCTGTTTTGATTCAGTGATGGTTCTACTGCTGAAAGGGCACTCAGAAATTTTTCATGATGATTGTACAGCTGACATTTAGCCAGTGACATTTTTCCACTTCAAATTGATTTCTACTCACTGTTTTGTTGCACCATGCTAACCATTTGCAGCATGAGGAAATTATACTTAATGCTTAAATGTCCCATTTCTGTTGTATACAAATGGTGTATATATCTACATGAGAAAGAGGCCTAGCTGATAGCTTGGCTCCTTGAATTACTACTGAGATATCTGCACAAATGCTATACCTATAGCATTTGATGAGAAAAGTGAATTTGTTGTCTCATAAACATCATCAGTTATTTTGCTGAAAAAACCCCTATTTAAATCCTCACCAATGTGTCTTCTGTTCTCCTTTGGTACTCTTGCTTCTTCAGGTGTCTGGCTTGGTTGCATTCCAGTCCAGTTCAGTAAAAATATTTCTGGGTTATCCACCTCCTACATATGCAGATCAGAACTGCTGGAATTGTCACTCTATAAACTCCATAATCTTTGAAGGGTTGATTCCTGGCCTTTCTCTTTTCACTTTTACCAGATCCGTTTTTGAATTTTTGCCCCTCAGTCTGTCAGATACAGTTTTCTGGTCTATGCAAATTTTGATGTGGTTTTGGAGTTGACAGGTGCTTCATTTTCAGAAAGACTGTGTCAGGGTTTGTGGAACATCCGTTCCTTAACACAAGATTGGCATCCAAAAATTTTAGGCACATGTCTGAATTCTGATACACACACACACACACACACACACACACTTCTTTTTTTTTTCTTCCTGTTTTCCCATACTCAGGTATTGCAGTTCTTGCCTCATATATTTATTGCCAGGTTATCAATGTCTTGTGCCCTCATACTCTAGGTGTGGTTAAAGGACAAAGCCTGAGTTTGTTTCAGATATGCTGCAGCGTGTTTCCTCATCACTAATACTAAATGACAGCTAACTGTTTCCCATTTTATTATGGTGATATCAGCAAAACATACTGGAATGAGTTTGATGGAATGCTGTGAAAATGATTAAGGGATTGGAGCGTCTGTCAAAGGGGCAGAGGCAGAGAGAGCTGAGATTGTTTAATGTCAAAAAGAGAAGCCTTAGGGGGTGATCTTCTTAACCTGTATAAATATGTGGTGGAATGGAGTAAAGAAAACAGAGCCAGGATCTCCTCAGTGGTATCCAGTGACAGGACAAGAGGCAATGGGCACAAATTGAAATGAAGAAATTCCATTTAAACATTAAAAAAAGGAAACAAACTTGTTTACTAAAGGAGCAGTCAAACACTGGAACATGTTGCCCAGAGGGGCTGTGGAGTCTCCATCCTTTGAAACCCAAGTGGGACGTGGCCCTGGGCAAGCTGTAGTAGCTGACCCTTCCCTGAGCAGGGGTTTGGACTAGATGGTCTCCAGAGGCCTCTTCCAAATTCAACTATTCTGTGATTCCTGGTGAGTCCAGTGTTGACCAAAGCTGGTCACGGATTTACTTTTCTTGGGCCACCTTCTAATTTTGCTTGGGATCTGTCAATCTCTGGCTAATTGCAGAAGATTACTCACAGTGGCAGGTTACCTGAGCCTTCCTGAGATTTTTGATAAGCAGACAGGGTTTTATCAACCAGCTTTGTGAGACACAGGAAAAGAGCTACTCTCTGGTACCAGTTTAATACTTGGGTTGTAGACTACAGCTAGCACTCTCTGAAGTTGTTCAATATTTCACATTCAGATGAATTCATATGTTCTCCATCTTCAGATCTGAAATGACTGCCTCAAACTTAACCTATGATGTTTAAATCAGCCTGGTAAAAGAAAAATCTGTGAAAGCACAATTCACAAGAGATGTGCTAGAATAAAATGAAGACCCACATGCTGGAAGTTAGGAAAGGGCCCTAATGTATCTTTGGTTTTAAAATATCCCTGGAAAGGGCAAAATGCGCAAGCTTTCATCTGAAAATTTAGAAGGTAGCACGCGACCTAACAGTGTAATCATGCTGTGTTTAGTCCTATTCTGTCATGATTTCTAGCAAGCACATGCAAAACCCCTGAGCAGCAGTGTGCTGCAGCGCTGTTGATGCACTGACAGCAGCTCCATCTCCTTTATGTCAGGCTTCTGTGGAACCTTTTCGTTGCTCTCCCAATGCCTTTCAGAAAGAGGGACATGAATAAAGAAAAGGCCAGCTGATATGAGCTCAATCCAGAGAAAATGGAGATGTTGCAGGTGTGCACTGAGAAGCACCTTAGCAACTTTACAAAGTGAAAGCATTGCCTTAGCACCCTCTAGCATCCCCTTAGTTATCTCTCTCTTTTGTTTGGCTGTCCTTCATCCTGTCCTTTGGCTAGAAAAGCTGTTCCCACACTTCCTAATGTGTTTTTTTTATGTGGATCATTATGAAGCAGAAGGCAGAAGTGGAGGCTGGAGCAAACTCTGTGCCATGTGATACACCTTTTGTGCCAGGTCGAGTGGCTAGAGAGGGGCAGCAGTGGAACTTTTCAGAACAATGTTGTGCACAGGGCCAAGTGCGACCACTGACTGTACACTAGTTTTAGGATTTTTTTTGAAATCAGAGGTGTCCTGTCCAGGCACTGGGTGGACTAGATTTAATTATTTTTCTTCTGCTTTTACTGGTATGAATCCACAGCTTCCCCAGACAGCATTCTTTTCAGCCAGCTCCAGAGCACATGAAGAATCTTTTGTATATCATGCACCAAAGGGAGCCAAGCAATAAATTTGCTCTCTTATCTTCCAGCCAGTGGACAAACGACAGGCTTTGGTTCGGCAAGCATCTGTTGTTAACATGGAAAACTTCAAAAGGCAATATGCTAGAAGGCGATGGAAGGTATGACAGTGAGCCTTTAATCCTTCTCATGTAAGGCTTCCCAAGCCTGATGGGATCAGAGGGCAAGATAGAGCTTGAATGTAAAATTGTAATATGCAGTAGATAAATGAAATGTGTTTGGATATGTCTGCACTGCATATGTGTGGTCAAATTCTCATTCTTCCCTCTCTCCATAGCTTTCTTACTGTATTGTCTCATTGTGCAACCACTTATCTCGTTCGCTGGTGAAAAATGTCCTAATACAGGATGAAAGTTTGGTAGGTACCTTTCTCAAAGGGGAAAAAGAGAAGGACTAATTTTACTGTGCAGTGATTTTTGCTGTCCTTATATGGATGCACAGCCCAACAGGGTGGCAATGGTTTTGAGTGGGAAATCAGATGGGACTGTGGCATCGCTTGTGTGTCTTTAATGCTGCTGTAAGTTGTGTTGCTTTGACAGAAATGTTGGGCAGGGAGAGATGGTGACTCTATAAACCCTTTACGTGCTAGCCGCATTTATCGTGTAAAGGAGCAGCATGGGGGCTGCAGATTATGTTTGGATACCATAGCAGTGACTGTGCTGTCTGACTGAGAAATGAGGGGTCGTGGAGAGAGTCTGCGCTGCTGCGCTTGTGACCAGCTGTGTGATGGAGGGTGGGGGACCCCTGCAGTGCATGTGACCTTCTGGAGTGAAACTCTGTGAGATTTCTATTAGCTCTACTTTTCTCAGTAGATGATACACTAATAATACTAGAACATCATGTTTGGGAGCATGGTATCTCATTTATGTGACTGAAACATTGTGGCCTTTCTATTTCAGAGAAACTGTGAAAGTGACAGTGAGGATCTTTCACAAAGAAAAGCCACTCATCAGAGGAGAAGCAGCATATCATAAAGTAATGAGAATTCCACGGGCAGGAGACAGAGGAAACTTTCATCCTTGGTGAAAAAGGCAGCCGTCACAGCAGACCTTGACTTCTTGTCTGAATCATTGGTATGATGCTTCTCACTTCTCAAACTACACCAACAGCTGGGTGATGTTATTAAATGCCTTCTGAGCATTTTAGAAAATTGGGGATCCAGATTCCCAGGGAAATGCCACAGCACAAGCACCAGTTGGAGTGCTTTCATATGTTAAGCATTTCAGTGATACTTCAGTCTATTTGTGATATCAACTGCACTCAGGACGTAGGGTTTCTACTGATATTCTTTTACTGCAGAATAATTCACATTCCGCACAATGATTAAGACTTGTGCATTGTTATTTCAGTCAGGGAAATTGTTATTGAGTCTTAAGGAAATTTTTAAATACAATTTTTATATTTGTTAATAGCAATAAATATTTGATGGCAGATATCTGACAGGTATTGTTAGCTGTGTGCAGTACTCTGTTATTGCTGTTATTGAAGAGAAAATCATAGTGCCATTACGTATCATAACCTTGATTTCATTAACCTAGCAGTCAATAGTTCAGTAAGAATTGTGCTCTGGCCATCATCTTTGGCTGAAGACTAACCCAACTGCCATTGTCAATTTGAGTACAATTGATTCTGGCCACTGAGAGGATGAGATAGGCCAGGACAATTTTTGGATGAAAAAGAGAAGAAATTCTATAGTGACTTACATGCACCCAAATACAACAGTTTTACAGAATGATGACAGGGTGCTTCACCAAAGCAGGGCACTTAAAAACCCGAGGTATATGAAGAAACAGTCTTTATTAGTCTTTGTTATTGTTTTAATTTATTGTTGGCAAATTGGAGATTCATTAACACCTATTTGTATAGGTGCTGTTTACATGTAACCCAAACTGCAAACATCTGTGTTTTATTCAGGGGGTTGTATCCAAAATTGAGGAAGTAAGCACTTTGAGATTGATGTAACTAATGTCTTTGTGCTAGGAAGTTGCATCATTTTAACTATATTAATTTCTAAGCCAGTGTTGTTAAATTGGTACCAAAAAATGTGCATAGACTAGGTTATTTTTTTTCATTGAATATATTAGTTGTTAGAAGTTTGTATTTATTTTGCCATTTAATAAATTAAAAATCAGAAAGCAAGCCTACTAGAAACAACTATAGATTGACAAGGAAAAGCTGGTTTTGTTTGGCTTTATGTTTGTCACTTCTAGGCTGAGGTTTTAGAGCTGAAGGTGTGAACTGGTGTTAAAAACTAGTATGAGGTTCATTTTGCCTGGCTTCTAGTTTCTAAGAAAGAAATAAAATATGCTACTTTTATTTGTAGCTTTGTATCCTTGCTTAGGCAGAGACTAAAATGCAGTTGATGAGAAGAGCATTTCTGTGAAAGGAAGGAAATGGACGAGAAGCACTGGAGGGGAGAGGCAGAAAGTAGGATTTGAGGGAAGAAACATAAAATGAAGGAGATGGTGGGGGCCAAAAAGCAGTGGAGAGGAATAAGTATGAGAGGGACATGTAGGGAGCGGAGGTGAACCTGGACTGGGAAGGTCGAAGGAAGCTAAAGAGGATGTAGATATAAGAATTGTGGAAGCAGGAGAATGAATGTTTTGGCAAATATGGCACTGTATTTTGATGCTATTTATTTAATTTCCTTTTATTTCATGTCTTGTGCTGCCATAGCCTGTGACATGTGCCTGGTTAAGGCATAAGGAGTAGAGCATGGGCTTCTCTTCACATTCAATTAAAAGGTGTGTTTCTGAGCTTTCTGTGTAATTTCTGAGGCAGAATCCTCAAAAAAGTGCTGTAGTAATCTATATATTAAGAGGGAGCAGTAATGGGAAGAACTATTGTTTCAGTGTCTGGAGGGAATCTTTCAAAAATAGAACACTAAAAATATATATTTGGGTAAAAAGCTGCCCAGCTTACCTACCAAATTTTGTTTCCTGCTTTCCCTGTCCTGTGTGTTACCATTAGTTCATTCCCTGGGCTATTAAAAACCAAATAAACTCTGAGCCAGCGGTATTTTTCTGAATTCCCGGAGTTTCCAAACACCTTCAGTTTCCAAATTAGAAATTGCGGGATGTGTACATAAATCGCACTTCTGAAAATTAAGCCCTGGTTAAAATAGCTGTTAGGTTGTTGCATCAGAATTGTGCTCTCATGGACATGAGATCATTCTTCTTATGTAAAATCCTAGCAACTATTGGGCAAGATGGGATGGCGTAGAAAGGGAGGCAGAGGAGTGCAAGGCAGTGTGAAGCCATAAGCTCCAGCTTATTAATTCTACATTAATACAAGATGTAAGGTGGTGTGTTAACAAAGGCATTACAGACAGCTCATGGTGTTTGGTCTTCAGTCATCTTTTTGCCCGGTTCAGCTAAGGACAGGAGTGCCGGCTTAATTACGGGAGAGCAGCAGGGCTGGCCTTTCTCTGTGGCACTCAGTTGTTTCGTAGCTTCACGTGGCTCCCTAGTAATGCGGCATTCATTGCACAGAAACCACAACAAGCAGCACTCGTGTAGAGCCAAACTATTCCCTGACTGTTCCGGATAGGAGCATGCTGTGAGTGTATAATCTCTTGTTCTCAGGACTAATGTCTGTGATTTATTAGGAAGTTTTACTGTGTTTTTCCAAATGCGGTGCTCTCTGTATTTATCACCCTATCTATTCCTTTGAGGTGGAAATTCAGCCCCGCTGCAGGGAGGCATAGCCTAACTAAACTCAGTTTACAGCACTGGAGGACACCTTCCTCGGTGCGGGGTTAGTTTCATACTATTGGTGGTTTTTGAGGAACAACCTAGAGGTTCCTTTTATTAAAGGGAGGGGGGGAGGAAGGCATGGAAGGGGAGGGGGGTGGTGAGAGAGGAGATGCAGTACACTCCAATAAAACAATTTATGTTACAGAATTTACTTTTGTGGGGGAGAAAAATCTGCTTTCTGTGTATTTTTTCTGAGCAGTAAGGAACCTGGAAATAAGTGATAGTCTGAAAAAAGCAAGTATTTTTATTAAAATAAGACTATTTTTATTGTTATTTTAGTGGTGATGTTTTTAAAGCTGTGTGCCTATATTTTTATTAAGAGAAATACTGATTTTTATGTACTTGGAAATAGTACAGAGTGTCAAAACCAACAAATATATTTGTTATTCTGATTTGCTAATAAAATTTGGCAAAGCAGGACGAGTGTCTTTTCTTCCTTTCTTTCCACCCGAGCTGGCACGTTGCTCTGGAGAAGGTAAGCCGGGTCCGCGGTGACGTGCCGGTTTGTCTCCGGAAAGGTCAGTCCCTCCGTCGCCACTGTGAAATCTGAAGTGTCGGTGACGCGCAGGTTGCACAAGGGCTGCCGG